TGGACTAAGTTCAGTAAATAAAGATGTGGACACTTAGCTGACACTAACTAAAGACTGTGGACACCACTGCACACACCTCAGCTGGCAATTACAGAGATTTCCCACTTTCTTCCACAGAGAAGTTGCTTCATGCAGGATCAGAGGCAACACATGTTTTTCAAACTCCTTATGTCAGATCTTTCCATTCAATTTTTGGCTATAGTGTAGCAAACATCAGATAACCAGTAAAAAATTTGGTTGGAGAGATACACTGTCACTGACAATAAGGCCATGAGGTAAATTATATCTCTTAATAGCTTTTGCATCATTAAGAAGCATCTGCTGCTTATGGAGTTGGATATGAATATTCAGGGCTATGCACACAATGCATCACACTTTTAATAAAAGAAGGGTATGTCCCTTGCTCTACAACAAGATTCATAACTTAAAAGTATTCTAGATTAAGAAGAGCAATGCAAAAATACTAATTGCCAAGTGTTTCTCATCTTTGGGCACATCCTCTTTGTGCTTGAAACTACTTACTAACCAACTAAGCTGCTGTATTTGCCGACAGTGGGTGCCAAGTATACGTGTGCATACAGGCACACACTCCTCTTTGCAAAGAAAGGGCAAGCACCTTGTGTAGAATCACACTGGAGGCACCTCTCCTTACTGACCCACAAAGAAACTCTGACCTGTGCTGTGTGACTAATGAGAGGGCACAGTCACCCTGAAGAGCCTTAACCATCAAGGACAGGCAAGAGAGGAATGTTTTCTATAGTGCCAAAGCCAAATGAGAATTGTATGATACACTTCCAGTTCCCTGGTACACCCCTCGTAAATACAAGGATCTTTTAAAATCTCTTCCAAGAAAGAGAACTGAAAGCAACCAGATGTACTTCTATTAAAGTTTGTGGGAAAAAATATCAAATTAATACAGACAAGAAATAAAAATCCTAGGTACGCTTGCTCTGAATTAGAAGAGAGAGTGTATACACAATACTACTTTGAATGCAACTGAGAAGAAATGCAACCAATCTTTGTGCAGCAAATCTTAACAGTAGCAGTTTTGCTCCCTTTTATTTGTCGTGCTTGCTTTCCAGTGGTTAGGCTGATGTATTACAATTGAAATAGTGAACAAGCCAGAAAACATTTTATTTTATTACACTAATACAGAATGCTGTTACTTTATCTGTGTTCTATACTTGAACTTACTACTGGAATTACTCCATTACTTTGTGTCGCGATCCGCGACCTATTATATCTCCTTTTTGGAGTGTATTTAGCTTGTCAGGATCTGCTGATAGGTCCGCACGTGGCGCTCGCCTCTCACAGAGGAGCAGTGGCTTCAGCACTGACTTTTCAAGTGAGTAACTTGCTCAGTACTTACCCTGCAGACATAAAAACATGCACATCCAGCTACCACTTGCCTTTATTTGGCCTCTTTAAAGGTACAAGACTGTTGGATCAAAGCCTGACATCTATGCTGGTGACTGTCAGCCCTCACTGACATCTGAGAAAGTGAATGCTAGTCTGGGAATGTAAATGGCGCCTCCAAATAATTCAGCACCTCTGAAGAACTGTATTGCATTGCCAGAAATGGCAAGCAGCTCAATTCCTCTTCTGGACACTTAAAATACTGATACTCTTCTGGCCGTCAAAATACTGTCAAGTGAGTCATTCAGTAACAAAGATCATAGTCTAAAAAGAATACTTTGGTGATGCAAAGCCAAGAAGAAATACTGTCTGAGAGGGAAAAGTGTGGGGGGGGAGGGGGGAAAGATTATGCCTTATGTTTCTGCAGTAGTGTATCTCTACTACATTTATGTGTATATAATTACTTATATGCACTATATATGTGCCTATTTGTATCTGTTTACAGGACGACAGTGGGGTGACACAGACACTGTGATTTAAAAAGCAGACACAACCTGTTTTCCATGAAGCTGCTTCTCCAGTGCTGAGCATCATTCCAGCCAGTATGTGGATTGATTACTCCAACACAGACTTGTTGCAGGACACATCTTTGTCTACCTGTGAGGCTTTGGCAACATCGCAAAGCCCAGAAATGTGTCTGGAAAAGTTTTCAGTTATTTCAGGGCTTTTAACTCAGCTCAGAGAATAAATGTGAACTGAGGGTTGCAGGGTCCCAGTTGTTACTAATTACTGCAGTAATAAATTATATAGAGTTTAAATTTCAGAGTAGGTGGCTTGCTGAGGTGTTTGATGAATTTTTATATTTACCACCCAATTTGTACCTACAGAGTAGGAGCTGTGGGAATCCTTAACTTTTATAAGCTAATCCTGTAAACTGAACCTATAAAACAGGTTTAGCTTTCAGCACTCAGTTTCCCGACAAGCATAGAAATTGAGCTTGGGTGCTACAATGTGCCAATTTCTTTTACTTAGCAGATTGACAATAAAAACAGAAATGCTGTTCTAAAGAGACACCGATCCGAAGGCTACAGGAGTAGCACCAGAACAGAGGACCTGTTCTCAGAGGCTGGCTCCCTACAGCTTCTGCTACCAAATTCTCCATCCCCAGAACAAAATGTCAGTTATCACCCTTTTCAAATGGCAGCTACAATTATACAAACCCCTTGTTACATAATACTACACAGCAGGATGAATCACTGATGGGTATTAAGAATGTGTATTACAGAATAGCATATATTACCTGTATATGAGCTGTATATGAGGTCCACTGCGATACTCTCAACAGATTTCAAAAGTTTTCTCTGGAGAACACAATACTTATGCATCTTGTACTTTGTTGCTAACTTTTAAAATAAGAAGCAGAATTACACTTCCATCACCCAGTGGTCTGGGAAGCCAGGAGCAACTGGCCAATGGAGCCAGTGCAACTCGTCTTCCCAATTCTTTTGTCTTAAATTTACAGATCTAAGCAGTACTGCTTTTTAATTTCAACCAAATTATTCTCCCACTTGGTAGCTCTCCCCATGGCTGCATGTTTTTCTTACTGTAACCCAAATTTTCCAATTCTCAATCTCATTCTTCACTCTTGCAGTACCCTAGGTAATTAATATTCCTCTTTATGTTTAAACTTTTTGAGTATTTTCAGATTTAGTTCTGTTAGATGGATCTTAGTCAAATAAATATATGCATGTTTGCCTGCTCTCCTTAAATAACAACCAAGTACATCTGTTGGTTGCTTTTCCCATTTAGCTTTTCCTCTAACTTGGCAACCTCTAAATAAGGTGTTTGTACCATGGGCATGCTGAAAGTTTAACATGGGTGTGAGAGGGGAAATAAGCATTAACAAATGTAGTTTTGTTTCATCAGCTGCTGCAGTAAGGACGTAGAAAGTGCCCCAGGATTTAAATTATAAGGAGTTAATGTGATCTGTTTTGATTGTGCTTAATTCGTAACTGAATAAAGACTGCCACCATAAAGCTTGACAAGAATTTGTATTCAGCCTTCAAACTCTTCAGCTGAGAGACTAGTAGCAGTATTGGTTCTGGATGCAGCACTGGCTTGGTAAGTGAGGCAACCTTCCCATAAGGAAAATGTGGATAATGTCACATGATATACAAAGCTTATAAGAAACTTTGTATGATCGTTGGAGAAGACTAACTTGGAAATAGTTTTTACAGCTGTGAGGAATGTTTAGACACCACAAGCAATCCAAATACATTATGAACCAAAACCAGGGTTGTGTCACTCTACTAAGGAGGTTGAAAGGTTTGCCTTTATACACTGGTCTTGAAGATCATGACCATATTTGCTTGAAAAAAAAAATTTAATTGCCATCATTACCATTATCTCATTATTAAAAAGCATTGTAGAATATGTTAGCACTTTGTATAAAACCAAGCTGTAGTTGCAATTTATTTTGTACCTTGACTTACAATCACTAAGCTTTGCCAAATAGTAAAAAAAAAAAAAGTATGTCACACACAAGCAACTTTATTTTGCTACCTGTCATTCTCAACTTTAATAGCAGTATGAAAAAATGAGCTGAAACAGGGAAAACTTAGTCAAAGGATGACAGCAGAAAAGATGCACTAAATTTGTGTTTTATCCCTATCAAAAATAGGAACCACCACCATATTTTTTTGTTTCTTCAGTGACTTATAAAACACTTAAACAGCTCCTTCTGTGAAAGAACTGGAAGAAAGCTACTCTAAAAAAAGCCAGGACATGTTAAACTAAATTAAACCACAAACTATTAGTCAGATGAAGCCAGCTATCAGAGGAATGCTGGCAAGTTCTGTCTTTGTAAGAGCATAAAAAAGGTCAATTCTGGTAACACTACAACCAAAGAAAACCTAACAGCTGTTCTAAGCAGTGGTGTGTGCTGAATTCTCATGGGATCACTTATGTTTAGCAATGTACTTGTGTTTGCAAGACTCAGGTAAAGAATAATCTTCATCTTTTAAACTTCTTCCTTAAACAACTGCATTTCCAGAAGGGAGGGGGATTTATTATCCTGCCTCTCTTCCCCTCCACAAAGTGACATTTCACAGCCAGTTGTCCATCACTAGGTTAGGCTGAGAAGCAAACAGAGCCATTTATTGTTTCACCGACTCCTAACAATAGACAATTTGGTGTCTATTTTCTAGTGTTAAAAGTCCATAAAGTCATTTTTAATGCAATCCAAAAGCCCAGTGAGGCCATACATGAATCACTGTTTTACCAAGGGTTTATTCACACTCACTGGAAAGGGCACTGTAACTATCCTTGCTATTGGAGTACAATATTGACACTTGACAGACAAACTGAATATTCAGAACAAGCACGTCAGTTAACCACAACATTGATACTCCACTTCTAATTCACAATATAATATTCCTCAGTTAAATTAACTAAAAAAACAAACAAACAAAAAAACCCCACACAAAACAAAACTAAAACCCACCATTTTTGACTGCTTACCCCTAATGGCTTTGTGTGTTTCAAAGCATTCCAAAATTTTGCTAGGTCAACAGTATCACCTTTTGGATGATGAACCCCAAGTATTTTTTCAATTTTCAAAAGGAAAAAAAAAAGTGTTCACTTACATGATTTCTTTTATTTTCTCCATCTTCTATAGAAGTAATAACTGTCTCAGAAAAAACTGTTGATCCAGTTTTGTTATCTGTAACCTGATACAGCAAAAGAAGAGTAAAATATCAAACAACATTTTTAATTAATCTTTTGTTACTCTCAGTCCTGCAATAATGAAGATCTGCAATGATTAAACCACCTTCTCCTTTTTTTTTGCATTTGATGTCACTCGTATAACATCCTGTAAGGATGTAGAAGTAGACGACAAGCCTACCTCCTTATCTATTTAAAATATCGCTGTAATGAAGCTAACTGAGCAGGAGATGGTAATTATTTTATGACCCATGTAATAGCTGCACCTGTGTTCTATTTCTAGCAGGCACTTTTTTCAAAATAAATTATTATTTCACATTAACCTTTTAAAACATGTGCTCCTCATTTAGGCAAGCAAATGAGACACAACAAAACCCCAAAGTAATTATCATAAGGAAAGTTTATGCTCCAAATGATCTTATTACTCCTAAATACCAGCAAAATTATTTTTATGTAAAAAAAAAAAAAAGTGTAAAAGCTTGCACCTTACTTTATGTTTTTTCATACCTTATCAACTTCTTGATGAGTCTGAACAGTTTTATTACCAATTCTGGTTTCTGTGTTGGACTCATTATGGTAGTTGAGAGGTAAGTTTTTGAAATTCACTTCTGACAGTTTTTTTGCCCCTTCCTCTTCAGCTTCCATCTGCCAAATTTAAGAAAATCAACTGAAAATTAGCAACAATTACACAAAAGTGAAAAAGCAAAATACTTCTTGTGCAGCCCTCAGTAACACCCCATTTAATTACATGATGCTGCTCAAACAGATCCCCTTGTAGGGGAACACTTACTCAGATGTTTCAGACAGTGGCCCAGCAATTCTTTTAATGGACTAGAGAAACACTTGAGAGCTAAACCCTTGAGCACCGGGGCTAGTTAAGCCAAAGTCAGTCCCTGTGAGGAAAAATTGTGCAATGAGTAGTGACAATCTGGTACCTGTACAGGCTGATGCCAGTCAAGAGCCTGACTTTCTGTTTGACCCAGAAAACCACTACAGACAGACTTCTCCATCTGACTGAGATGAGAAGCTGTTCAGGCAGGACAGAGAGCCATAGACAAAGCCCCTTGAAGGCAACAGAAGGAGATCAGGGTTCACACCTCCAGAATTTCATTCTCTGTATCAGCTCCCATGGTCTCTGCCAGATGAAAACTCAACTCAGAAAAGGAGTGCTCTCTGAATCAGAAAGCAGAGTAAGCTCAGCAAAAGGGCAGGAGTCTTGTAAACAACATGAGCTCTGACCACGTTGTGCCCCTTTGTTATTTGCAACTGCTGTAACAAAGGCCACAAGTTCAACCAGCCTGAACAACAGAATTTTTTCCAAGACAGAATTTCTCTTTCTGGTGTGTCTGTTTATTTTAAACAACAGCTGCAAACCTTTTTCAGTGTAAAGCATTTATCTGCTAAGATGCAGTTCAGACAATCCACATTTTGTGCTGTTTGCAGACCATTCCTAAACCCTGAACTAACTAGAGTAATAAAACTGGCAGAAATTTCGGCTACATCCTTACTTTTATACCTAAGCATATTTTCAGCATTGTAAAAACACTTTTTGAGAGTGGTTTGTCTCAATGGGTTCACAGTCTAAACTAAGTGGACAATAGAGGTAGGTTTCAGCAACTGTCCAGTAAAAGCCTAGAAATTATTTAATTACAGCAAACGAAGGTCTGCTCTTCTAGTGGGTTGTCTGTAAAAGCTGGGGTTTTTTCAGACTGTGTATTTTTTTAATGAGAGGAAAAGAGAGCTTGGAAGGAAGATTCTTAACATGAAGGAGGAAAAAAGTTTAAAAGTAGGGGGATGTAGGAACTGGGTCTTTTGAGCACAGTACGAGACAAGGGCTCGGGGTTTAGTCTCAGTTCCTGGCTTTGGAGAAAGGCCTTTGTGTGATCCTGGCCAAGGAATCTGAGATCAAGACATGGAATCACATGAAAAGTAACCCACTTCTCCACACACGTTTTCAGGACCGCCTTACACCTTGGAATCCCGGATTGGGATAACCTCTCGTGTCCGAGTACCGGCTGTACACAGACAACAAATCAACTACTCTTCCCTTCTCCCCTCGCCACGTACTGTCGTTTTCTCACGTCAGGCTTCAGATGGACCGATTTCCTGCATGTTCGCCCCGCTGCCTGCGGTGCTGGAAGAGGAAGGCTTCCCAGTGCCACCCCCAGCACCGCAGCGCCCGCGCACGGCGAGACGCGGGGCCGAGCGGGCCCGGCTGAGGTGAGAAGCGGGGCGGGAAAGCCCGCCCGGCAGGAGGAACCGCGCCAGGAGCACAGGAGATGCCTCCCGTGGCAGCCTGAGGGCTGCAGCGGGGCGGGGGTCGCTGCCTCAGGCACGGGGCTCTGCCCGCAGGTGCGGCCCGGCCCGGCCCGGCGGGGTGAGGGAGGAAGAGCTGC